TGTAAAAAAAAAAAAAAAAAAAAAGAAAAAAAAAAAAGATTAAAAAAAATGCTTTTTTTTTTTTTTTTACACTCCTTCAGCAGTTAATAAACAGCTTTTAGCACAAAGAGACGGTGTTACTTTTGGCACAGTCCTGTTGTTTGGGATGATGGGACTTTTGTCACACCCAAAGGCCTTTTAAGGTTTGGTCGTAAAATGTGAACTTTTACCCTAGTTTGTGAACAGGGCTGAATGGAGCAGATATTTTGTATGTGATACGATGAGGGAACTTGCTTTAAATTTTATTACGGGACCAGCTAGCTTTTAGGTAGGTCTCCTATGGCAGGGAGTGGAGAAAATTCAAGTCCAATTCAGGTCCTTCACATGGTGACCGAGACCATCAGACTGTGCCCATAATTCGTGCTTAGTAGGCTGAATTGTGTGCGGTGGTTTGATCACCCCGTGGTCACAAATTCATCACCCACATCTAGACTGTACTTCTAAACCGTGCTTTAGGTGAGCGCTGACCTATATATTTCAGGGTTGGTGACCACTGAAGTCATCAAGGTATAGTAAGGATGTCCCTGAATACCAAAATGAACTTCTGATTTCTCAAGGGTTCAAAATTCGGAACCCCACCAACTGGACAGTGGCTTCTTCTTCTTCTTTACCACATTCAAAAAAGAACTTCTGATCTTACAAAGACCCAAAGTTTGAGATTCCGCAAATTGGACAATGATATCTTCCTCTTGACCACATGCCAAAAGGAACTTCTGATTCCACAAGGACTGACAATTCAAGACCCCACCAACTGGACAGTGACTTCTTACTCTTGACCGGAACGTCTGAATTCACAAGGGCTCAAAAATCAAGACCTCACCAACTGGACAGTGACATCTTACTCTTGACTACATGCAAAAAGGAACTTCTAATCCCACAAGATCCCGAAATTTGATACCCCAGCAACTGGACAGGGACATCTTCTTCTTGACCACATGCCAGAATGAACTTCTGATTTTCCAAGGGTTCAAAATTCGGAATCCCACCAACTGGACAGTGGCTTCTTCTTCTTTACCACACGCAAAAATCTTACAAATACCCAAAGTTCGAGATTCCGCAAAGTTGGACAATGATATCTTCCTCTTGACCACATACCAAAAGGAACTTCTAATTCCACAAGGACTGAAAAATCAAGACCCCACCAAATGGTCAGTGACCTCTTACTCTTGACTGGATCTTCTGATTTCACAATGGCTCAAAATTCAAGACCTCACCAACTGGACAGTGACATCTTACTCTTGCCTGGAACTTCTGATTTCACAAGGGCTCAAAATTCAAGATCTCGCCAACTGGACAGTGACATCTTGCTCTTGACAACATGCCAAAAGTAACTTCTGATTTCACAAGGGCTCAGAATTCGGAACCTCACCAACTGGACAGTGGCTTCTTCTTCTTTACCACATTCACAAAAGAACTTCTGATCTTACAAAGACCCAACGTTCGAGATTCCGCAAATTGGACAATGATATCTTCCTCTTGACCACATGCCAAAAGGGACTTCTAATTCCACAAGAACTGAAAATTCAAGACCCCACCAAATGGACAGTGACCTCTTACTCTTGACTGGAACTTCTGATTTCACAAGGGCTCAAAATTCAAGACCCCACCAACTGGACAGTGACATCTTACTCTTGACTACATGCAATATGGAACTCCTAATCCCCAACGGTCCAAAATTTGAGACCACACCAACTGGACAGTGACATCTTCCTCTTGACAATATGCCAAAAGGAACTTCTGATTTCACAAGGACTCAAAATGCAAGACCCCACCAACTGGACAGTGACATCTTCCTCAAGACTACATGCAATATGGAACTTCTAATCCCAAAAGGTCCAAAAATTTGAGACCCCACCAACTGGACAGTGACAGCTTCCTCTTGCCCACATGCCAAAAGTAACTTCTGATTTCACAAGGGCTCAGAATTCAGAACCTCACCAACTGGACAGTGGATTCTTCTTTCTTTACCACATTCAAAAAAGAACTTCTGATCTTACAAATATCCAAAGTTCGAGATTCAGCAAATTGGACAATGATATCTTCCTCTTGACCACATGCCAAAAGGAACTTCTGATTTCACAAGGACTCAAAATTCAAGACCCCACCAACTGGACAGTGACATTTTACTCTTGACTACATGCAATATGGAACTTCTAATCCCAAAAGGACCAGAAATTTGAGACCCCACCAACTGGACAGTGACATCTTCCTCTTGACTACATGCAATATGGAACTCCTAATCCCCAACGGTCCAAAATTTGAGACCACACCAACTGGACAGTGACATCTTCCTCTTGACAATATGCCAAAAGGAACTTCTGATTTCACAAGGACTCAAAATGCAAGACCCCACCAACTGGACAGTGACATCTTCCTCAAGACTACATGCAATATGGAACTTCTAATCCCAAAAGGTCCAAAAATTTGAGACCCCCACCAACTGGACAGTGACAGCTTCCTCTTGCCCACATGCCAAAAGTAACTTCTGATTTCACAAGGGCTCAGAATTCAGAACCTCACCAACTGGACAGTGGATTCTTCTTCTTTACCACATTCAAAAAAGAACTTCTGATCTTACAAATATCCAAAGTTTGAGATTCCGCAAATTGGACAATGATATCTTCCTCTTGACCACATGCCAAAAGGAACTTCTGATTTCACAAGGACTCAAAATTCAAGACCCCACCAACTGGACAGTGACATTTTACTCTTGACTACATGCAATATGGAACTTCTAATCCCAAAAGGACCAGAAATTTGAGACCCCACCAACTGGACAGTGACATCTTCCTCTTGACTTGATCTTCTGATTTCACAAGGGCTCAAAATTCAAGACCTCACCAACTGGACAGTGACATTTTACTCTTGACTACATGCAATATGGAACTTCTAATCCCAAAAGGACCAGAAATTTGAGACCCCACCAACTGGACAGTGACATCTTCCTCTTGACTTGATCTTCTGATTTCACAAGGGCTCAAAATTCAAGACTTTACCAACTGGACAAGGACATTTTACTCTTGACCACATGCCAAAAGGAACTTCTGATTTCACAAGGACTCAAAATTCAAGACCTCACCAACTGGACAAGGACATCTTACTCTTGACTACATGCAATATGAAACTTCTAATCCCACAAGGGCCGTAAATTTGAGACCCCACCAACTGGACAGTGACATCTTCCTCTTGACCACATGCCAAAAGTAACTTCTGATTTCACAATGGCTTAGAATTCGGAACCTCACCAACTGGACAGTGGCTTCTTCTTTATTACCGCATGTAATAAGGAGCCTCTTTTCCCACAAGGGCTCAGTTTTAAGGCCCCACCAACTGGACAGTGACCTCTTCCTCTTGACCACATGCGATAAGGAACTTCTAATCCCAAAAGGACTTAAAATTTGAGGGTTCACCAACTGGACAGTGACATCTTCCTCTTGACCACAAAACAGAACATTTCATGTAATTTATTTTATTTTTTTTCATCTGCAGCTTTAATTCAAATAATACCTGTCGATCCCGCCATGAAGGACCTCTCCTGTTATGGGGTTACAGGGTGACAACTTCTATCTTTGTCTAGCAATTCTACGTTGTCACCCGTGCTTCCGATGGAGACTTCAAGCATTTGCTCCAGGAGCGTTTGCCGTCATGGGAGCGTTATGGGGTAGTGTGGTCATGCCGGGGCAAGGGGTGACCCTAACATTTTAAGGTGCCTTTCCAGATCAGACAAAACTGAGGCTCTAACTTCTGCCAATAAATTCTCGGTTCTTTTGTGAGGCTGTAAAAGCTGCTCAGATGTCTGGCTGTGTCAACAGTCGAGGTTGTAAAAGTCACAGTGGGGGCAGTGCGTCCTCTCCCGAATTCTCAGGCCTTCTGTGTGTGGAAAACTATTTGGCAACCATAGCTGGTAGTGTGCCAGGCGGTACAGCGCTGTGGAGCCGTGTAAGGTCACCAGGGAAACTGCTCAGGCTTAAAGCCAATTGTCCAACCAAAGGGCCAGATACTGACCAGAAAGATGGATGTAGGACTTGTCTCACCTGTCAAAGTCCATCCTATAGTCCAACCCTATGTCTGAGGAAGGTAGCAACACCATTCAGATCCTAGAGCTCTTATGGCGTAGTGCCACTGCCTTGCCTCCAGCCTGGTTATTGGACTACTGGTGAACATCACCATCCCATTATGGGGAGATCCCACCATCCCTATGATGAGTTCCCAGGTCTGTACACCCGCTGTGCCCATTATGAGAGTTCCCACCGTTCCTGTGCTGAGTTCCGGGGTCTGTACACTGACTGTAACTATTATGAGGGGTTCCCACCATCCTTGTGCTGAGTTCCCGAGTCTGTACACCCGCTGTTCCCATTATGAGGGGTTCCTACCATCCCCGTACAGAATTCCTGGGTCTGTTCACCCGATATTCCCATTGTGAGGGGTTCCCACCATCTCTATGATGAGTTCCTGAGTCTGTACATCCGCTGTTCCCATTATGAGGGGTTCCCATCATCTCTTTGATGAGTTCTCAGGTCTCTACACTGACTACACATTATGAGAGTTCCTACCATTCCTGTGCTGAGTTTCCCATGTCTGTACACTGACTGAATCCATTTTGAGGGGCTCCCACCATCCCTGTGCTGAGTTCCTGAGTCTGTACACCTGCTGTGACCATTATGAAAGTTCCTACTGTTCCTGTGCTGAGTTCGTAGGTCTGTACACTGACTGTATCCATTATGAGGGGTTCCCACCATCCCCGTGCAGAATTCCTGGGTCTGTACACCCAATATTCCCATTATGAGGGGTTCCCACCATCTCTATGATGAGTTCTCGGGTCTCTACACTGACTACACATTATGAGAGTTCCTACCATTCCTGTGCTGAGTTCCCCGTGTCTGTACACTGACTGTATCCATTATGAGGGGTTCCCACTATCCCTGTGCTGAGTTCCTGAATCTGTACACCTGCTGTGACCATTATGAAAGTTCCTACTCTTCCTGTGCTGAGCTCGTAGGTCTGTACACTGACTGTATCCAATATGGGGGGCTCCCACCATCCCTGTGCTGAGTTCCTGAAGTGTACATCCACTGTGCCCATTATGAGGGGTTCCCACCATCCCTATGATGAGTTCCTGGGTCTGTACACTGACTGTACCCATTATGAGGGGTTCCCACCATCCCTGTGCTTAGTTCCGGGTTGTACTCTGGGACTGTAGCTTTCTGTAGGACCACAAGATTGTGTGTTCTACACTAGAGGCCTCAAAGTTCTACTCTGTCTGGTGTCATGCCAGGTGTGGTTGGACACGTCGTGGTTCCAGAAGGTGTACTCTGGGACTGTAGCTTTCTGTAGGACCACAAGATTGTGTCTTCCACACTAGAGACCTCAAAGTTCTACTCTGTCTGGTGTCATGCCAGGTGTGGTTGGACACGTCGTGGTTCCAGAAGGTGTACTCTGGGACTTTAGCTTTCTGTAGGACCACAAGATTGTGTCTTCCACACTAGAGACCTCAAAGTTCTACTCTGTCTGGTGTCATGCCAGGTGTGGCTGGAAACATCTTGGTTCCGGAAGGTGTTCCTCTTTCCCGTCTCGTTGCTCTGGTGACACCCCATAGACATGTTGATAGGGTTTGGCTTGGCTCACAGGGCACAGTTTCCGGCATGAGCACGAATTCCTGAACAAGTTCATATCTGTCGGAGAAGGTTCTTGTGTATCCAGGTCATGGTCCTATAGCTGGTTATAGCGAGTAACATTTAACCGGGTTTCTTTTGTAATGGTGACAACGTTTCACAGCTCATCCAAGTGGCTTCCTCAGTTCCGTTGAGTATGGGGAATGTACCCCGCAATTTATATTCACATGGGCAACTCCAGGTGTTGATTATCCCACCATGTACTTGGACAACCAACCTCTTGACGATGGTTGGGTCAAACTAGATGGAGACCCGATCACCAAAACCTCATATAGGCTTTAACATGTCCAAGTCGTTCCAACATTTTTCAGTCTGTTTATATCTGCAACTTTCATTTGTGTACGTTCAGGCATTTCCTGTTATGGGGGTGTGCGGGGGCGGACTGACAACTCATGGGGGCCCTGGGCAATAGGGGTCATGGGGCCCCTGTGTCCTTGCCCAAACTCAAAACAGTCTATGAAAAAGGTACCAGGGGCATCTCATGGGACCCCCTACTGACCCCGGGCCCTCGGGCAGTGCTCGAGTTTCCAAATGGTCAGTCTGTCCCTGATGGGGTGACAACTGCCTCCCACTCGTGCTCCTGTGTTGTCACATGTGCATACTTGAAAACCTCTTCGTAACAGTCCCCGGGTGAGTCACCCCTGCCCAAGGGCCCACACATATCGTGACCTCCTTTTGGGTGGTTTAGGTGGCAAATCAGTGGCTGGGCTGGACCAGGGGTTACATGCAATCGGCATCCTTGACTGAGCCTGGACACTGGTGGTTTGCCTCCAGGGTTGTTGGCTTTGGCCTCTCACAAGCCAGACGCTGAGCACCCAGTATTTATACACCTAGAGCAGTGGTCTCCAAATGGCTTTATCAGGCCCTTGAGGCACTATTCCTCCCACTGATACCAATGATGGGGCACTATTCCTCCCACTGATACCAATGATGGGGCACTATTCCTCCCACTGACACCAATGATGGGACACTATTCCTCCCACTGACACCAATGATGGGGCACTATTCCTCCCACTGACACCAATGATGGGACACTATTCCTCCCACTGACACCAATGATGGGGCACTACTATTCCTCCCACTGACACCAATGATGGGGCACTATTCCTCCCACTGATACCAATGATGGGGCACTATTCCTCCCACTGACACCAATGATGGGGCACTATTCCTCCCACTGACACCAATGATGGGGCACTATTCCTCCCACTGATACCAATGATGGGGCACTATTCCCCCCACTGACACCAATGATGGGGCACTATTCCTCCCACTGACACCAATAATGGGGCACTATTCCTCTCACTGATACCAATGATGGGGCACTATTCCTCTCACTGATACCAATGACGGGGCACTATTCCTCTCACTGACACCAATGATGGGGCACTATTCCACCCACTGACACCAATGATGGGGCACTATTCCTCCCACTGACACCAATGATGGGGCACTATTCCTCCCACTGACACCAATGATGGGGCACTATTCCTCCCACTGACACCAATGATGGGGCACTATTCCTCTCCACTGATACCAATGATGGGACACTATTCCTCTCACTGATACCAATGATGGGGCACTATTCCTCCCACAGACACAAATGATAGGGCACTATTCCTCTCACTGACACCAATGATGGGGCACTATTCCTCCATGACACCAATGATGGGGCACTATTCCTCCCACTATTCCTCCCACTGACACCGACGATGGGGCACTATTCCTCCCACTGACACCAACGATGGGGCACTATTCCTCCCACTGACACCAATAATGGGGCACTATTCCTCCCACTGACACCGACGATGGGGCACTATTCCTCCCACTGACACCGACGATGGGGCACTATTCCTCCCACTGACACCAATGATGGGGCACTATTCCTCCCACTGACACCAATGATAGGGCACTATTCCTCCCACTGACACCAATGATGGGGCACTATTCCTCCCACTGACACCAATGATGGGACACTATTCCTCCCACTGATACCAATGATGGGACACTATTCCTCTCACTGATACCAATGACGGGGCACTATTCCTCCCACTGACACCAATGATGGGGCACTATTCCTCCATGACACCAATGATAGGGCACTATTCCTCCATGACACCAATGATAGGGCACTATTCCTCTCACTGACACCAATGATGGGGCACTATTCCTCCCACTGATACCAATGATGGGGCACTATTCCTCCATGATACCAATGATGGGGCACTATTCCTCCCACTGATACCAATGACGGGGCACTATTCCTCCCACTGACACCAATGATGGGGCACTATTCCTCCATGACACCAATGATAGGGCACTATTCCTCCATGACACCAATGATAGGGCACTATTCCTCTCACTGACATCAATGATGGGGCACTATTCCTCCATGATACCAATGATGGGGCACTATTCCTCCCACTGACACCAATGATGGGGCACTATTCCTCCCACTGACACCAATGATGGGGCACTATTCCTCCCACTGACACCGACGATGGGGCACTATTCCTCCCACTGACACCAATGATGGGGCACTATTCCTCCCACTGACACCAATGATGGGGCACTATTCCTCCCACTGACACCAATGATGGGGCACTATTCCTCTCACTGACACCAATGATGGGGCACTATTCCTCCCACTGACACCATTCCTCCCACTGACACCAATGATGGAGCACTATTCCTCCCACTGACACCGACGATGGGGCGCGATTCTCCCCCCCCAATACCAAAAATGCATTGTTTACTCCCACTGCCACCAGGACAATTTCTACCCCCCCCCCCACTGACCACAGCTTGGCCCCCCCTAAAATCTCATCCACCATGTGGCTATAACTGCTGGGGTGTTTTACCACCCACATTGTGGCTGCAATCCCCTCAGCACTGCCCTTCTTTTTTTTTTGGAGTTACTGCACATGCTCAGAAGCCCAAGAGTGATGCTGTGATCCCAGGACACAGCCCAAGACAGAGCACATGGAGGCGGGGCCATGCTGGAACACCTGACATCCATGCACCCGCTGGCCCTGGCGGTCTTCAAAAACGATCGTACCAACACACATTGACTGACTCTTTTTGAAATAAAACTCTTGAAGCTCAGCGCTGAAAAGACTTGTTGACCAGAACTCACCACTTCCAATTCGATCTGTGCAGCCAATCTCGATTTCTCAGTCCAGCGATCTTTTTTCAGTCCAGCGATCTTTCCCGTCTGCGTCTGGGGCTCTATAGATAATAGAACCCTTGATCCCTTTCAAGAAAAAAAAAAAAAAAAGCGAGTATTGTCCTCACTGAGTGGATGCACAGCAGGCGTCCCCGGGGAATAAAGGGTTAAGGACGCCTGGGGAAGGGGCCGGCAAGGGGGGGGGGGGGGGGGGGTTGCGCTTTCCTGCGCTTTGCATCTTTTGAAAGTTTCAAAAGTTTGAAAAATGCTCCTAACTTTCATCCCTCCTTTTCACCCCCCTTCACGGTAATCCCGCACCCCCCCCCCCTCCTGCCCCTATCTGTCAGTGTTCGCCCCCCCCCATCCCTCATATTCATGTCCTCATTCATCCCTGCATGGAGGGGGGGGGGGGGTGATGGATCCGCAGTGAGGGAGACGAGTTCTGAGTGAAGGGAGTTGACTTCAATAGCCAATCGTGTGCAAACGCTGAATTCAAACTTTTAAAAGCTAAACGCATGTGGTCGATTTTTTTTTTTTTTTGTTTGTTTTTTTTTTTTGCGACTAAAAACGCCAGAGATTAATCGCTGGCACTCGCAGTTGCATGAATTGGCAATCGATTGCCTAAACCTGGAGCGAAGTCTTGTTAGCGATGAATCGATGACCGATCAATCGCTGGTCGCTAACCGCTTCAGCGAAAATCTGTCGGGTGCAACTAAAAAAAAAAAAAAAAAAAAAAGCAACGATTCTCTAAACATTAAGTGACCAACCTAAACGCATTCAAACCACTTTCTCATTTTTTTTTTTTTAATGCGCATGCGTTGTCGCGCGTTAATGTGCGTTGCAGCCCATTGAAATGAAAGGGCGGTCGCTGAACCCTGACACGCTCAAAATTGAACATGACCCTTTTTTTTTTTTTTTTTTTTGTGACTAAAGCGATTAATCGCTGGCACTTGCATGAAATGGCAATCGATTGTCCAAACCTGGAGGAGCGAAGTCCTGTTGTTAGCGATGAATCGATGACCGAACAATCGCTGGTCGCTAACCGCTTCAGCGAAAATCTGCCGGGTGCAGCTAAAAAAAGAAATAAAAAAAAAATGCAACGCTACTCTAAACATTAAGTGACCGACCTAGACGCATTCAAACCACTTTCTGATTTTTTTTTCTTTTTTTTTTTTTTAATGCACATGCGTTATGTCGTGCGTTAATGTGCGTTGCAGCTCGTGGAAATGAAAGGGCAGCTAAAAAAAAAAAAATGCAACGCTACTATAAATGTTGAGTGACCAACCTAGACGCAATCAAACCACTTTCTTATTATTTTTTTTTTTTAATGCACATGCGTTGTGCGTTAATGTGCGTCGCAGCCCATTGAAATGAAAGGGCGGTCCATGAACCCTGACACGCCCACAATTGAACATGACCCTTTTTTTTTTTTGTGACTTTGTGCAGCTTAAAAAAAAAAAAAATATGCAACGCTACTATAAACATTAAGGGACC